GATTAAACTGGATTCCTATAAGAAAGACAAATCAGCAGTAGGAGATAACTCGTTAGAAAAGGAGCATTTTTATGTGACCAGACCAGGGTTCAGGAAACAGAAAAAACACAGGTACAGTCAGAAGCCAGCAGTGTCTTTGCTTCTCCAATATTTTCTGGTTTGGTTTTGAAAATAATAAAGTAGTTAACGAAAGAGACTGTCATAGGAGGGCACTGCTGCTTCCTCTGCATGCAGCTTTTCTCAGTAACATCAGTCATCTTGCATAGTTTCTTATATATTTCTTCAATATGTGCAAAAATAACTTGCTTGGTGTTGAGCAAGATTTTGAATTGAAGTCTGGGACAAAAGTATTAACACTTGCAGACAGAGTCAGTCTGTGTGATGACCTGACAAGCCACGTCACATATCTGAAATGCTTGTAGCTCAGTCACAGAACACTTGCACTTCACCCAAGAGCCTCCTGACAAAGTCAAACATGGACCAGTTCTCTAGGAGAGCAAAGCTGACATCACTAAGACTGTCACAATATCACCAACTGACTGCAGTGTGAAATGTAGCACATCTCTTTGGATAATTCTGCAGTAAGTGCAGTAAATTTTGAAGATATGGAACAATCAATATAAAGATTATACTTTTTGATAGTGTTCCTTTTCAGAAATTAATTATTTTTTCTATGATTTTCATTCACTACTTGAATGGAGCAATACTGATTAAATGGCCATTGGTCCGCAAAATCATTCTTACCTGTAGTTTGAGGAGAGATGGATTTGATGGATGGGCTATTAAGTGGATAAGGAGTTGGCTGGGTGGTTGCATCCAGAGAGTTACAGTCAACAGGTCAGTGTTCAAGTGGAGAACAGCAACAAGTGATGTCCCTCAGTTCTATACTAGGAACAAGTCTGTTTAGCAACTTCTTTAACGACATAGTGGGGTTGAATGCACCCTTAGCAAGTTTCCAAGTGACACCAAGCTGAGTGGTACAGTCAATATACTAGTGGGAAGGAAAAGTGCAAGGGAAGTTGGCTGGCTTCCCTATAAAGAATCAGGTTTCGCTTGCTACTGTGGTGAAATCCAGAGATATATGTTGTTGAAGGATACAGAAAATGTCCCTTCCTATGATTCTCTGTAGCAAGTAACTTGCTCCTCACCTAAACATCCAGCATGTTCACCAGAACCCACTTCTTGTTATGCAAGATGTTGCTGTTTCCATCTTTGTTTAACTCTGCTTTGAGGTTTGCCTGCTGTTTAAGTTCAGAGATACATAAGATCTCTCTTAGAAGCCAGGTGAAAGAGGGTTGACTTGCTTTTGCTTGGGTGATGCACTTGTATCTTAACAGAGGGTGATAAGAGCTCAGTGTTTAATGCAGGAAATCCTGAAAATGTTTAAAATCCTTCTTTCCTGAAAGGCCATGATGTGGAGTCTTTTCAGTACCCCTTTCTTGAGAGGGTTTTTTAAGGTAAATTTACATCTATAGACCCTCCTTTATTTAGATCTGGTAATTGATTTCATCAGGTCATCAACTCATGTCTCAGTTCCTTTGTCCTGTAATAGTGGGGATGTCTGTTACATTAAAATAACTTTGCCGTGCTCTTTACTGATAGGCAGACTTATCTAAACATAGTAGCTAGTTAATGGTAAATACACTCTTACTTGATGCTAATGAAAAACATAATGGCATTATAACTTGGACTATCCTCAACAAAACAGGCGTCTGCAGGTTAAATTCTTTCCCTTGAACTGAGATTTAATCTTTTTCAGCTGCCATACATTTCTATAATACGTATAATTTTCTCCCTCCCTCAGAATTCATACACAATCTGCATTAGGAATAACTTTCCTGACATTGGCATTGGCCTAATTCTGCATCCATTACCTGATATATAAGAGGCTGTATAACAATATCCTCTGCAACAGGAATGGACAGAGCTCGCTGCCTGAGTGATCCCTTTCAACTGTTATCCCCAGCATTCCTTATAATGATGAGAATAAAATTAACCCAGATAGTTTGAAGAATTCCAACTGTAGCTTGAAATTCTTAAAATTAGTTTTAATTTAAGCTTAAAATTAGTTTTATTTTTGCCTAAATTTCATTATGCTTCCCTTCTCTTGTTTTTTGGTAGCATGCAAGTTTATTTTCAGCTCTGGAGAGGAGAGCAGTAGCAACTCTAGCTGCATTTGAAATTCAGGATGGCCTTAAATGTCTAAAGTGCAAATTTTCATGCCACTTAGGATTTTTCTAAATAGATTTTTCTGCTAAATTATATTATTCCTCCAATGACTGATCAACAGACACTAATGGTCTTTTTTACAAAGGCTTCTTATGTGAAATATACCACAACAAAGTAAATTGAAGCACATTGTAAAACAAAGCACATTGAAGTAATTTAGTTAAACTTGAGCCATTAAAAACTTTACCATTAATCACTTTAGCAGAGTTTAATTTGAAAAGTCACCCTTACACGACCCACATTGTTACTTCTTTGAAACTTCTGATATCCAACACTGTATATGTGCTCATGCATTCTCAGCTGTCCTGTTCATCTTTTTATATTTCTTGTTGATGCTGTAGAGATCTCTGATGAAAACTGGTATTGCATCCAATTTCTGTTTAAATACAATTATTTCTCTTGCTGTTATACTTTATTGCAAGATGAACATACATATTACATTGAAAAACCCTTCATGGTGTAAAAAATACAGAGGTACTTAGCTTTCTTGAATTATCCAAGAAATGCAGTCATTGAGCAGGTAATACAAGGAAATGGAAGAATAACATTTTCAGTAAATTCTGTAATTTGATAAAGTTATTCTTAAAATTTACTGTTGGTAAGAAATTTGCCTTTGTTATAGCACTTAATGGCTCACAAGACTTTTGAAAAATCCCTTACAGCTAGCTATTTGAGTTTCTGATTCCTTCAAACCATTTGTCCAAGTGCTGATGGATTTCCAGTGATATTTTTAATGAATTTTTATGTGAACAAAACTAATTCTGTTCCCTTTCAAAAGCCTTTAAAGGGAACAGTGAAATCTCACCAAAAAATGTAATATTTGTGTTGAAGGCAAGAAATGCTTTAGTTGTGGTTCAGAATTCAAAGAATTCATAGTGAAGGCAGGTTTGAAAACCATACACTCTTGATCTTTGTATAGGTGTTGTGCAGTACAAGTGTGTTCCAGGGGTCTGTGATGATGGATTCTCAAAATGTTATTCCAGTCATCTTACGCTTATGAGGATGAAAATACAGTGCTACCTCTTAGCTTCTCTAATACTGTGGCTATAGTCCTGAAATTGCTGCTCTTGGGAGTTTCTAAATTAATGCATTAAGAAAGAAAGTATTTGGTAGCATAATGAATGGATCTTGCAAAGTGAGATTCGGACTGACTTAAAAGACTGCCTTTTTCTTGGAGGACATCCAGATACTGCAAAAGCATTTTCAGTATTATCAGAGAGGTGTTTCTAAAACTTTCAGAAAAACAAAGGCCCCCAGAATAAGTGTTTAAATACTTCCTGTTTGTGCATACACCCTACACAGCGTTCTCAATAGGAGCTAAAAATAAAACAAGATCTGCTTTTGGCTCTCAGGAGAAGGTAGGTACCAGTACAGATTGGTTTGTCTAAAGAGAAAAAAACTAGATTTTTGGGAGGTTGGGGTTTTTTGGTTTTACAGAGCTGATTTGTAGCATCCAAGTCCTGCATTGCTTAAAAACGTGTGTGCTGCCAAGCGGGTTTGGATCATCCACTGTAAAAACTGATCATGACAACTCTAATATGGAAAGTGCTAGTCATTTCAGTACGCATCCAGGAAAAAACAGCCTTGTCTGCTTTCTGTGCTACATCTTAGTAATACAAACAATAGTATTCCTTTTGGGAGGAATCAGTGTTAAGAGTCTTTTGGTCACAGCCTGGAGTGCTTCTGAAGGACTCCAGGCTGTGAAGCAGAGATGCATCAGAATTCTTTTCATTCTCATGAATTAATTGAACTAAATGCTTGTTAACCTGATGGCTGTTTGGCATAGGTGTGTGATAGTTTTATTGCTAAAACCAAAATGACTAGTTTGTATTTTCAAGGTTTGAATGCTTATTTATTTCAGTGTTGTAATTGTTTAGGTTGTTGACAAGCCATCCATGCAAGTTTTGTCAATAGGATTATGATGCAGCGATTGTTTCTCTTCAGTACTTAAATAATGAAGTAAATTTACTTTGCCCAGGTCTTAATTAAACATAGCTCCTATATTTTGCTGTGAGAGGCTGCATATTCTTATTTTTCAAAAGGTTATATGTATACTGATAAACTATTCCTGAAAGCAATGCTATCTTTCAAATGCCCACTACTCACATTGACATATAATGTCAAGAAACACTGTTTTGCTAGGATCATACTATTCTCATGATGCTGGCCTGGTTTGTGTTATATCAGGTACTGCTTATTGTTCCTGACCTTAAAAATAGGTCTTTCTCTGCTGTGGTAGGGTGTAACAGAAGATTACCTTCTTTTTTTAAGGATAGGCAATACCATTTATTTGAAAGAAGTAGCACCAATTTTCTCATTTCCATGTAATCTCATTTTGTTCCACATCAGTTTCAGTTCAAAACTCTTTAGGATTAGCAGGAAACTAACATAGCTTCATTGACCTCAGTTGAAGTACATTAGTTTAAAAACAAATAAAACAAATTTTCTTTATACTAACATTTCTCAACAGTAATGTTCTTATATTCTCAACACAAGATATATTTTATTGTCAAAGACAGACCTAATGATGACATGGGGAAGTAAAACGTGTATAAGAAGTAAAATGTATATAAGAATCTAGTGATTTCTGAAGGGCTCTTTTTTTGAAAAGAAAAGATATTAGAAACCAGATAGAAAACCATACATTGATTGTAAGTATCCTGTTTGGGTTTTGAAAATCAGTGCTGAACACTGTTTCAGTAAAAAGTGTGAAACAAAAATAGTGGTTCAGTTTCAGCTAAAAAAAGCTTTTCTTAAATTTCTTTGTATAGCATCCTCTGAGAAGACAACTGAGCCTTTGATGAACCAAACTTCTACAAATGAAGAAAAACAGAGGTAAGCATTTGTATAATTCTATTTAAAATAAATGGATTGAGTGTGTGTTCCTCAATATCCTGAGGAAGATGACTTTTAAGATATGTAGATACTCAAATGTTCTGAGAGTGATTCTACAGCTGAGGTTGTATTTCAGAATAGTCATTCTGTGAAACATAAATCTAGTTCTTGAAAAACCTTTATTCTGAATTTTCACACAGAATTATGGCATTGGATAGAAATAACAGAACAGCATTTTAAGTACTTCACAGAGACTCTATATGTAACTTTTGTTGGTCCATACATCTTGAGACAACCATTCCCATCAGTAGTTCTGAAGTCTTTACCAAGCATTAAAAAATTCTAAAAATCAATATATGAAAAATTGTATTTTGAAGCTTCAAACTTCAAACTGAAAAAGCAGTAAAAATACCAGTGTGTCATAAACAGCATGTTTTCTTCACACATCAAAGCAGTGTTAACATGACCATCAAAGTTTTGTCATTTCCTTTCCCATTCAGTCTTCTCTCAGATTAACACGCTTCTGTGCCAGATTCCTCAGTAGCTGATGAGGATAGTTTGCTGAAGATAGTTTGCTAAGGATAGTATGATGAGAAGGCTGAGAAAGGAGAGATAAGACTATATGCATACTACTATTTTCTAAGATAAATCACTTGTGGTCAGAAGAAAGGATATGTTTTAGCAGGTGGTTTAACTTCATTCCTTTGCTTTTGCAAGACTGAATAAATTCTATCAACTTTGAAAGTATTTGTATAGGCACTCACAGACATTGGAGAGAGCAAAGAGAGCAGCTGCTAATAGAATTTCCATAAATCTGCAGGTAAATAATATTCCTTCATATAGAAATGTCTCCTATGATTTTTAGTAATACCCTTGCCATTAGGAAAGATCAATGACCTAGTAATTTTATCAAAGAAAATAGAAGTTGACCTTCAGCAGTTCTGCATTTTGTAAGGATTCCCTCAAAGCAGAGAAAATATAAATCAGCATTATTCGGCTTCTCTTCCTGTAGCTGAGATCCTGTGAGCTACCAGAAAGATGTTATTAGAAATTTTAAAGGTGAGTGAAAACAGTGTTTGAGCAACCAGCAGGGCAGCCAAAAGGACTGGCATCCCATGGAGAGCCATTTTATTAAGCAGCCATTTGTTCTGAAAGGTAGCAAGAGAAAACAGGTTAAAGAATATACAGGCTTCCTGGAGGTGAAGAGATGAGAGAATTTCCAGAGCCTGAGACAGACAAGCAGTTGTAAAAATTAGTTTATACCTGCTACCTACACCTTTCCTCCATTATTTGTTCTCCTATGAACTCAAGATTATAGTCTAAGTGGAGGTGACAGCTATTGTGAGCTACAGCTATAGCAGAAGTACATACACTGAGAAAATGAAATATTAGTTTGCCCTTAATAACCACACTGTAAATGAATGGAAAGCTCATTAACGGAATCAATTTCCTGTCAAACCTACTGTGAAAAATCCCTGAGCAAGGAGAACTCAATAAATATATTTTCTTTATCCATATCAGAGTTTTCTATGACTTCCATGTGATGTTTATTCAGCAAACCAGCCCAGTATCTTGTCTGCATTATCAGTGGCTGAGATGCATCCACTGGGAGAAACTCATATCTTAATCTTTCATCAGTATGCATTGTTCCAGTTTTCCTGTGACTTTGAACAGATTTGCCTGCTTTTAGCTTTGGCCCTCCAACACTTGCCCTGTTGTAAGCCTTGGTACAAAAGTTTCCTGAAAAAAATGCATATCAAAATTTATTGCCAAATTGTAAATGCTGAGTGCAAAGCTGAAGTCATCAAGGAACTGGTCAGAGCCTGAGCTGTACACTCGAGAAATTGAGGTCAAGGAGGTTTAATCTTTTAGCTCTCTGAAAAGTGGATAATGTAGAGGAGATAAATCTGTGGAGCAGAACAAGGCATCAGAGTATTTCCTGGTTTTATGGGCTTCATGTAATCAGAGATTCAACAGTAATGAAGATAAAACCAACAGTCACATCGTTAAAGTCAAAGCTGTCTTACACAGGTGAAAACTGCATATTCCTTTTTTGAAATGCCCACTCTGTTTTTTTAAATTTAGGTTCAGTATGATCTCTGAAGTTATTCGTGGTGTTCAGCTCAGAGGTCTGCAATTCCTTTGCTTGTGTGATAGTTTATTTTCAATACTGGTGGCTGTTGCTGATCCTGGTTTTGGTTTGTCAGTCTTTGTTTTTCTTTATTTAATCCATGAGGTCATTGACATTGGATTTCAGAGTTTGTGTGAGAACTTAATATCGTCAGATACATACACCTGTAATGAAAATCTCTTTGAATTAAAGGAATTAAAACATAAGTTGTTTAATTGCATGGGAGTAAAAAAGAAGATGAACAGAATTACAAGACAAAGAACAGGAGAAACTGCTGATCGAGGGCTGCCCAGTGCTTTCCCTAGGTGTTTTCCACTCTAGGTACTGATATCCAAAACAGCTGTAAAATGTACAGCACAATCAGCACCTAATTGGAAGACAGAAATTACTTTAAGTGTTATTTTTTAACGTCTTACTTGATTATTTTTGGCTTTGAAAATATTCAGGGTCATCTTTTGAATTTTGTGATTAAAACCAGAGACCATATCTGATTAAGGATTATCTCCTTTCTCTTATGAGAAATTTCTCAAGAAAAAATATATTGAATTCCCCTATTCAAATCCGTTCTTTTTTTTTTTTTCTGAGATCCAGAGGGAATGAATCCCTAGAAGAAAATGGAAGAAGGAAAGTATAGTGTTTTAACATATTCAAAGATGTTTCACTTATCATGATAGAAGTACTCTATAAACTTCAGATTTTCTTGACACATTCAAATATCTTCAAATAATACTTTTTATATCTATATTGTCTCTCATTCAGACCAGATGCTGGCACAATGCCATGTACTCAGGATTGAGTAAACTGGTCATGGGAAAACTAGTTCAAATTCTTCAAACTTTCTCTTATCCTAGAATGAGCCTATATATTTCAGCCAAGTGAATATGTGTTTTTTTTTCTCAAAATCATAATTGGAATAAAGGTAGCCAAAGTGTTTTCTTTTTGTTTCTTTCTGAGCAGTTCAGTCATTACCAATTTTAAAAGAATGTATGTTTGACTTCTAATTGTTTCCAGTCTGGTATGTTTATTCTCAAGGTTGTAAAAACCCATACTTGTGAAAACCGAGTTGAATGTTAACAGTTGTCTTAATATGGTGGAAAATTCAGTTTTTATTACAACATAAGCCTAGTGTTCTGAAACCTAGCCAATCCACAGAAGAGCAATCTTTCCACACAAACTCCAGGAGCAAGAGGTTTCTGAAACATGAGGTTAAACATAGTGAGCTAACTGGAATAGGGCAGGCCTGCCCATTTCTGCTTATAAGCAAACAAGGCATAGGCTTGGAGACTTTATTTTGCAAGGTACTTGTGCCTTGCATTCCTGTTGATTTCAGCCAAAGTAGCAGATCCTCCGCACTATGTACAGCTCAGATTGTATCACTTAAGAGGCTGAAAATCTAGGGTGATTTTTAATGTTCAGTGTGATACTCTACAGACCTCTTGCCCAGACTTCACAGCAGCTCTAGCAAGTATGTGAAATGACACCACTAAGTTATATCCTCAAAATAGTATTTTCTGATGTTTTTATTTTTCAATGTCTTCTTTAGATATTTGGAATTAACCTTACATAGTCATTCCTTTGTACTATTGGCAGCTCTTTTAAGTATTAGAAATGGATAAATCCAAGAATGCTGAAAATCTGGAAATCTCTATTATAAGAGCTTTTATGATTTTCTCATTATTTGCTAGATTATGAATATCTTTGACTTTGACATAAGTCAACTTGCCAAAAAAGCCCAATAATACCTTTATAACACCACATTTGTCAGTACTGTGATGATATTATTTTGCCTTTGGCATGAAGAATTCTTTTTGTTGATGTAAGTGAAGTTTGTGAAGATTGTGATGAATGTATGTTTTAACCATACATGCTAATAATAGTGTGAATTATTGTATAGACAATATCCTCTTCTTTCTAGGTATAATGACAAACAACCGAGCCCCAGACATCATTTGTCTTTGATTAATGTTAACTGTTCCTTTTCTTAATATAGTTTTAATTGTGCTATCAGTCTAAGAAATATGAAAGTCAAAACTAGGAATCTACATTACAACAACAATTGTGGCTGTTTTTTTTTAAAGGAATATGAGTGTGTGAAGAGTGCAAGGAAACTTCCAAAGCATCTTATTTACATTACATATATATTATCCCCTTTTCAGAACAGTTCATAGGTGTAATTAGATACAACCATTTGACTGATGAAAACAGCATGGAGTTGCAAATGTTTATGGCTAACTCTTACGTTGTCAGTCAGAAAACAGGCATGACAAAGTTCTGCTACTTATAGAATCATAGAATTATAGAATAGTTAGGGTTGGAAAGGACCTTAAGATCATCAAGTTCCAACCCCCCCTGCCGTGGGGAGGGGCACCTCACACTAAATCATATCACCCAAGGCCTCGTCCAACCTGGCCTTGAACACTGCCAGGGATGGAGCATTCACAGCCTCCCTGGGCAACCCATTCCAGTGCCTCACCACCGTAACAGGAAAGAATTTCCTCCTTATATCCAACCTAAACTTCCCCTGTTTAAGTTTTAACCCATTACTCCTTGTCCTGTCACTACAGTCTCTAATGAAGAGTCACTCTCCAGCATCCCTATAGCCCCCCTTGAGATATTGGAAGGCTGCTATGAGGTTTCCACGCAGCCTTCTCTTCTCCAGGATGAACAGCCCCAACTTCCTCAGCCTGTCTTCATATGGGAGGTGCTCCAGCTCCCTGATCATCCTCGTGGCCCTTCTCTGGACTTGTTCCAACAATTCCATGTCCTTTTTATGTTGAGGACACCAGAACTGCACACAATACTCCAGGTGAGGTCTCACGAGAGCAGAGCAGAGGGGCAGGATCACCTCCTTCGACCTGCTGGTCACGCT